ATTAACCCTAGTCACAGTAATCAACAATTTTTTTGCTCATCAGTTATTTCAGTTATTTTTGAATATTTTTATGTAAAAACTAAAAATTAAAATGATCTCATAAAATATTTATTTTAATCCTTATAATAATTATTCAGACAAAATACACTCGTATCACAAAATCCTTATGTCACTACATTTACAATAATGATAATGATAATGATTATAATTTTGTTTTAGTGAATCTTCAATAGATCAAATCAATTACAAATATGACTAATTTGAATTTGAATAATTTCATTAATGAAACGCAGCATAAGTTTTTAAACTTAATAAATCAAGAATTRAAATTCGGTTAGTATATTATACACCACTACTATATAAGTACCTTATTATGTCGGTTAAACATGTTATGTTATGCTTAATTTTACGTTTCATTTTTTTTTTGCAATCCATTAAAATTATCAACATTTTTATGGGTACCAACCTTATTTATYGTAAGATTAATACTTGTAAAACGCAATGTTAGATTAATATTGGCCTACCTGAAATTAGATACTGGTTTTAATATATAATAAAATAAACAGCAGTTTGCACTGTAATATAGTAAAATATTTTATTTTATAGATAAAAATGTCGATTCGTGGATGCTTATGAGTACACCATGGCCAGTTTTATCAATTCTGATAGCTTATATGTTGTTTGTACTAAAAATAGGCCCAACGATGATGGAAAATCGTGAACCGTTTAAAATAAAACATATTATGATGGCTTATAACATTGTACAGACCATTTATAACATCTTCATTGTATCAGGGGTAAGTTTAATATGTTTTAATCGTAACATATGCAAGATAATAAATAATTATTCAAAATCACATTAAATTATTACCTACCGATAATTTTGTTGAATCGCATAAATTGGTGCCTGCTTRCTAAGTAATATCTATAGTTTGATAGATAAATAAATGTATTAATAAATCGGTTCTGGAGGTTAATAAGCTTGTCATATTATTGAAGTCAAGTATTATTATCTCTTGACTCTTGTAATCATAATAATATGCATAATACATTATAAAATGTATAATGTATTATACTTATAGGTAATTATCAATTAGGTATGTATCTGCAAAGTTGCAAACTTATGTTAGTTAGGGGTATTCAAATATTCTACGGATCCTTTCCTTGCTTAGTAAATTATAAAAAATAACTTCACCCACCTAACAGATATTTATATAAACTTCGTTTGTATAATTATTGATAGGATATAATGAATAACTAGGTACCTRATATACCTACTGACCGTTTTTGACGCAATGTTGTCCATTACACTAACAAAACTAGTGGATGAAATTAATTAAGCTTCAGATGTTTTTAAATTTCATTCATCATATCTAGTTTTTTTGGTACGGTACTACGGTAGACAAAAAATAGGTACCCACATACCTACTTTTTACTTTTCAGTGAACAATATTACTTGTTACTACAGATTGATGACATGCGCGTGCACGTTCAAAATAGCTCTTTTACTGCACTATACCTCTACAGGCTGTAATATCGCCGATATCACATTATCGATCCCTTAAGAAGATSTTAGCGTATTTATTATCTCTCTCTGACCCACGCACAACGTAGCAAATTTTATATTCACAATAATGATTATAATGAAAATAATTTCTAAAAATTAGAGTGAAATGATTTCTCATAAAATTTTTAGATGAAGCCTGGGTCACATACCTAATGGCAAGATATTTTTATTTGACCCCTGATCTAGRTGCCTACCTCAAATGTTTTTTATTATACAGGTAACTYTAAAATGAGTTCCTACTTCCTATGAGTATTATAAAATTGTTTGTATAGGTTAGAGGTATTCAAACTGTGCGTCGCGGTTCCCAGAGGCTTTGTGAGAGTTTACGAAGGGAGCCGCGTCAAAGCACCGAAAACCAACATCATATCTAGGTCTTGTATAATCATCATAAATATTATTTGCAATCATTGTGGAAATGAAAACGACACACCTTACGACGCRACCATTTGAAGTTTTATTTCTAGTTCTAAAGTCACTGTTATTATCACCCGAGTCATATAACATATTGGACATATCGTATACGTATGTTGTTTCAACTTTTTCATAATAGTTTGTGAGCCGTCAAAATATTGTGAACACCCAATGGAGCWGTGGGRTGAAAAAGTTTGAATACCTCTGGTATAGGTACATCTTAAGATACTCTCAATAATACCCTTATAATTATTTTTAATATCCATTTTATAAGAGATCATTTCACTCTAATTKTATAAATGTATATGATTATAATCAATATTATGAACATGTAAATTATGTCATGTCACACGTGGATCACAGAGAATAAAAATTCTATTGTTTTTAGAAATTAARAATAATTTTAACCTTTAATGTTTGATAATATCGATGTTTTTTTTTACTATTGTACCTATCTCAAAAACAAAATATAACCGTAGATATAATATTATATGTTTGACATTTTAGCCAAAAGCTTATCATTTTATATA